GTCTGGGATGTCATTCAGTACCCCGGACAGGGATAACGACAGATGGAATGGATATAACTGTATTGTTCTACTTTTTATTCAGTTTCGATCTTTTTATAGGAGACGACATGAGAAACCACAACATAACCAGGACGTACTTTACGTAAAGAAGAAAAGGACAGGGGCAGGGGAGACTTCGATCAAACAACTACTGGAAGAGTGAGGGTAACTCTGTTTCTATTAGGGGTACCACCTACCATGGAGGAGTCCGCTATTCGCATGGAGGCCATCAAGTGGCTAGCTCACAATCTCCTTGGCGAAGAATCATTTGTCCAGAACCTTACACAAGATGAACTCTTAACACTGATCTGTTAGGGATTTACCTCTTCCTCAGAATGAAAGAATGGAGGTAACTGCTGCTATTAGGGGGGACGCTGGATTTTTGTCCCCCGCTTGAAAAGTGTGGGATATTAATTTGGGTCTGTCCGTCCGTCATTCAGTCTGTAACTCTTGTTTCGACACGATATCTCGAGAACCCTTCGGGCTTTTGCAATGAAATTTCATTGCGTATCAACTCCCTGTGAACAAAAGAAGAACCCTATTGATTTTGAGGTCTAAGGTAAGGGTCATAAATTCGAAAATTCTGTCTGTTATAACACTTTCGTTTCCCTGCGATATCTCGAGAACCCTTTGAGCTTTTGCAATGAAATTTTACATAACTCACTGTGGCCTAAGGAAGACCCTCAAAGTTCAAGGTCGTCAATTTATACATTATGTCTGTGTGTAGCACTATCCTTTCCTGGCGATATTTCAAGAGGATTTTGAGATTTTGCAATGTAATTTTGAACGAAAACTCCCTATGACCTCTCTCACCCCTCTCAAAGTGTCCCGCCCCGTTTGTTTCATTAGTATTTATTGTATTACATGTCGCTATTTTAGCACAGGGGAATGAGGAGTGTTATTACGTATAAAACAGGTTCTCGGCGGACTTTATATTCTTATTACAATAGAACAGTTTAATAAAGGTTAGATTAGACACCATGCATTGTGTAAAATTTTGACAATATCGAACGTGAATATATAAATACATTTATGTTACTTCATCTTTGCATATGATTTTCGTTACTTTACAGCGTTTGCGTGGTGTAGAGGTATGTCTCTCGCTGCACATGTGAGAAGTCCCGGGTTCAATTCCCGGACGATTCATTTTCTTTTTTTTTCTGAAATACCTTTTTTTTTTTACTAAATGATAGTATTCAGCATGTGAAGTGAAAACTTTATGAGGTTTAGCTTGTACAAAGTCATGAAACCATTATTACTGTGTGATAATCCTTTATACACATATTTAAGAATAAGCAATCAAATCTTTATATCCATATCGACACATGAAGTTTGTTTGCTTCAGTATTCATGTATACATTTCATAATTCTACAAATTCAGACGGGGGATTCGACTCCCTTCTCCCCCCGAACTGCGCATGGTTTACTTTTTCCCTTTAGCGGGGGACACAAGTTCTCTGAATTAGCTTGTTCTCAACTGTGAACAGTATATTATAAACAGCAGGAATTCTGACGCCTTGCATTTTCATTGCAAAATGAATTTCAATTACTTTTTGTATACGATCGCAGGCCTAGGATCCATAAAACTTAGACGAGCTCACTTTTGATCTCAGTCTCCCTTTTCAAAGGATTAAATAGTGGAAAAGGGAGACTGAGAGCAAATGTTTTATGGCCCCCAGGTCTTATTCAAAGACTTTTGGTGACAGAATGCTAGACACTGAGAATTCTGACGCTGATCTGTCTGGGATGTCATTGAAGCTGGAAGACATTTTGAGAAAACATTGAAAAAGATTTTTGGGGTATCTCGGTCAAGCACAGATTCGCCAACTTGCAGCCATTAAGTGATTTTTGTGAACAGATTCATTACAATGAATAGCTCACACAAGCCATAACAACGTAATTTTAATCTTTCTCTCAGATTTAATGAGTACTCTACAGTTTCAAGGGAAAAAAAATTGGATTGGACAGGATTATGGAAACGCATGATTTGTTAGAATGTAATTAATTCATTGAAAGTTAACATTTCTTTTAAATATACTGCCATTCAAAGAAAAAGTGCCATTTGAGAGTAGCAACATTATCCAAATGTAAGGATTTTGGAAATAGTAAATACTAATGAATGATTGAAAATTTAGTTTGTTGGACATGTTGGAAAAATGATTAGAAGAGCTACATTGAAATCAAACATTTGGTTTAGTTTGGGGACATTTTAGGGATTTCTAGTTACCTTGATCTTGATAGGGTGGTGTAATTTTGACTGATTATTTTTTTGCACATAAAATTTGTTAAGTAATTCACTGTATGGTATATATGCTACAACTTTTACTGAATCCTTTCTATTAGGAAATACCTTTCATCATCCAGATTACAATGTTTTTGATATATATTATTTGCCATTATATAAAATAAATGCATTGGATATACAAGATATGTTTGTAGGGCGATTTTAACACAGGGTATTTTCAACCGCTGTGCTCTAGTATAAACGAATTAATTTGCATTATCTCTAATATAAGAAAAAATACGTTAAAAATTGTTTGGTTGCCCTCTTTAGAGCGACTGACTAAAAATGCCCTGAATCAAAGCTTTTTTGACTTCCAGGAAAATATTATTTTTTATTCATTAATAACTAATTAATATTCGCATTTCCAGGTGTTTTTAAATTTAAAAAAAAATGTCTTTACCTACCTACCCCTATTTTTTTTATCCTCAGTGTGGAGAGGGCAAGCAAACTTATTTTCAAAGATGGCCTAAATTATTCTGTTGTAAAACACAAAAGATTAAGTAAAGATACTGACAACAAAGAAGGTAATTTTCAGAATGTACCTAAATTGAATTTAAGTTCCAAAATTATTTTTGTAAAATGTCAACAACATAAAAATTGTGTATTTAAATATCAACTGTTTTATCTAAGAATCAATTTTATCCATCAGTGTAAAGGTTGAACTAATGTTTAATTTAAATTACATATGAATTACTAGTATATTTTGCATATGGATAACAGCTAGATAAAAAGTGCCTCAAATTTGCCGTTTACTGATATTTGTAGAGGTAAATGTAGGTACTTAGCATTAGTTATGTGGCTAAATATTTTCTTATGTATGCTGTTTAAATTTAATAGTTACATATATATGATATAATTACAACCTTAACATGATTAAGCCTTGCATTTTCACTGGAAAATGAATTTCAACTACTTTTTTGTAGTTTTGTAGTTTTTGATTCACAGACCTTGGGAGACGCAATGTTAGACACTGGTTATTCTGACACTGATCTGTCGGGGATGTCATTCAGTACTCCGGACAGAGATAACGACGGATGGAGTGGGTATAACTGTAATGTTCTATTTTATAATTTGTTTCTTATTTTGTTTATATTTCATTCAAAAAATGAGAGTCTGCTGCAATCATGGGGGAGACTGGAATTTTATCAACTTTGACCAGTACATTAAACACTATGGACTCTAACACTGATCTACCAGGGATTTATATACTTCCCTACCTAAGACAGAGATAATGACAGAAGCAGTGGTGGTAACTCTGCTGCTATTTGAGCGTTGAGGCTGGTCATTTATTAACTGGGAACAGTACATTATAAACACGTAGAATTCTGACTCTGGTCTGTCTGGGATGTACTTCACTGCCTCATAATTACAGATGGAGCATTTGAATTCTTGAACAACACTTGCAAAACGGCTTCCTTTTACAATGTCTTAGGAAAACGCATACAGGTAATGCAGTCAGGTAATATCCTGTGTATATAGGTAGAGATGCGCAAGCCAGTGTCGTTCACTGGAGGGCTTCTCATCCACTTCGATTAAGCTCCACCCCACACCAAACTTACCTAAGGAAAACAAACCGGTTAAATACTTCAGCCTTTACAACATGAACCAAATTCAATTATTAGAAAGTTGTATGATGCTCAGGTGACCTCGTATAAGGTCCATGGGTCTCTTGTTCATCGTTCAAACCATTATGGCTTGAAATACCTTACTATAATAAATCATATTTTTGAAGGGTCACTAAAAACATTTCTCAGATATGGAAAACCAGAAGGCACCTATCATTTACTATGACTTGACCTTCAAGTGTTTAAGAGATGTTTATGATGGGAGGGGTTGGAACAAATTTTAGACGTTTAAAAACAAATCATTTTGTCTGATGTTTGAGGAATTGATTTAATGATGGTTCCAGACTTTTAGGTATATGAAAGATAATGCTGCAGGTGTAATATACCAGTATTATACGCAATTCATTTCAAATCTGCCAAGGATTACTTGTATTAGGTACAAATCAGGAAATATGATTATGGCAGGTCTGATACGACCTGTCCAAAAAGAGCAAAAGCTGATTTCATTTTTAGAAATTATTTTTAAAAAGTTAAATTGTGGCAGAATGTTAAACTAGAATCATTATTGTTTAGAAAAACATACTTCCTTATGGCTGCTTTGCTATGTGTCGCTCGTGATGTTCCTGCAGCACGTGTAAATGTTGGGGTTTAAGTCTCGTGAGGCAAATTTAGGCTATAACAAATGCTGTAAAACTTTCGGTAGGTGTTTTGGGGAGAAGAGGGACTATTCCGGTCTCGACATACAAAATTCGAACGCAAAAACAAAAACATCCCACAATCTATATGCTAAGATGGTGAATGCAATGCAAAACATCAAAGCTGAGTCATATAATTTAGCAAAGAAATATGGAACATACTATAGTGTTTTGATTAAGCTTGAGTACTTTTTGAGTTAGAGACCCAATGCAAATTTCTTTTTGAGATCTGCAAAAAACTGCTTTTCAAATTTAAGTGGAAAGAGATATCTTAAGTTTTAATAGATGGGCTGTTAAACTTTGGAAGGACTGGTCACAGAACAGAAATACATTACCTGAAACCTACACGGAGAATCCATCTTTTTTCTAATACCTGTGGAAATTTCATCAGCAACTATTGAAGAACATCAGTTTTGGATGCCGCGTTTCATCAATGAAATCAGAAGAAAGGATGGAACTAACTACCCACCAAATACCCTTACGAATATTGCAGCAGGGATTCAGCGTCATTTAAGAGAGGAATGCAACCGTCCTACTGTTAATTTTCTAAAGAAAGATGACCCCACCTTTGATTTGTTCAGGAAAAGTTTAGATTCAAGGATGAAAGAATTAACCAACATGGGAGTGGGGACTAAAGTGAACCGAACAGACCCCGTTTTACAACAAGATGAAGAACAGTTAAGGAATTCTGGGGTTCTGAACCAAAACACCGCTCAAGGGCTCTCTGTGTGTTTTTTTTATAATTGCAAACTTTTTGCTTTTAGAGCAAACGATGAACACCGCAATTTGGATGTCTCTCAATTTTCCATTAATTATGACCACGAACCTGGTTTGAAATACTTGGAATTTAAGGGAAGATCCTGTAAAAATGTCCAAGGAGGACTAAAGCACAAAAAGGTTGAAACCAAAAATATTCATCATTTTGAGCAGCCTGAAAACAAGCGTTGTGTGGTTAAAGTTTATGAAAAATATCTCAGTTTGATTCCTTATTCTGGTGCATTCTACAAGAGACCCGTGGAAGGAAATGTTCTTAAATTCAGTTCACAAGTTATTGGTGAAGAGAAATTGGGTGGAATGATGAAAAATCTGTTTTCGGAAGCTGGAATTATACAACTGGAAGGAAAATTACAAATCATTCGGGTATAGTAGGCTGTTGCACATTTTTATTTAACACGGAGGAGTGATGACCAAACTGTTCGATCTAGAAGCGGTCAAGGAGTTCAGCAGTTGAACTATACAAACGCCCGCTTAAAGATCTCCAGCTTAAATGCACCCAATGGTGAAAGATGACAGTGATAAGGAAAACACTGATCAGATAATTAAAAGTAAGGAAACAATTAGTGACAGTAATTCAAGTAAAGTCTTAACATTAATTGTTCCTAATGAAATTGAAACACTTGTAATTGAAAAAAATGGAAAGAAAATCAGGCTTTCATTGTAACAATTCTAATTACTGTACATATCTTTAATTTCTTGTTTTGTGTTTTGAATACAATTTGTGTATATTTCAAGAAATATTGTCATTATTTTTTTGTTTCCTCTCGACAATCATAGCCCTAAATTCACTGAGTCTACATTCCATTGATATGGTAAACCACGCCTCTGCTCCAAATAGGTCACCATTTCTATGGAACTTAGAGTCAGTGAATTCAGGGCTATGATTGGTTGAGAAGTAAAGCTTGTCCTCTAAATACTGGTTATTCTTACTCTGACCTGTCTGGGATGTCATTCAGCAACGAAGACAGAGATAACGAGTACATTTTACTGGATTGTGCTATATAATAATAATCAGGGGTATATTGTGGGTATATATATTAGTATATCTATAACCGATGAACGAGGTAACGACATATGACTGAATTTAACTCTTCTGTGTTATATATTTATAACTTTCCATCAAGGAAACGAATTGTGAAACAATAGACCACCTGACATGTACTTAACTACCACTGACAATGATAGCGGCAGATAGAGAGGATATATCTTAATTGTATAATTGTCTTTCTCAATAGAGACGACATGTGAAGCTATAATCTGTCTGGGGTGAACTTCAGCACCATAGATAAAGATAATTGCACGGGGAGTGGATAAAGATAAAATGGTATTTGTGTTAATTTGTACAACACATCTGCACACCGGAGTTGACAGAATATTTTGAAAATACTGGTTATTCTGACACTGATCTGTCTGGGATGAAGTTCGGTACCACAGGTAAACAAAATAGTGGGAAAAACTGTGCTGCTGTATGCGAATGAGAATTGTTGCTCAATATCCATCCCGTTATGTTAATCACTGGTAATTCTGACGCTGTTTGAGAGTTCCCCGCTTTCACCGATAATGGAGGATACTATTTTCGGTCTGTCTGTAACACATTAGTTTCCACGCGCTGTCGGGAGAAACCTTTGAAGTTATTTTGAGGTCAAGGTTGTAAATGCTTACATTATTTACAATGTGTACCTTAAGTATGTGTCAAAACAGTGAACAAAACGTAAAGTAAATATTTGTAACGCCATCAAAACGACCAAATAAGCTTAAGGTAATAGAATATTCAGAAGAGCTGATGGCTCGAAATTCCGAGGAGTATGGTGGGGAAAAATTAAACAAGTTACAAAATATGTTAATTATTTAACCGTTGTGAACTGTGGCCTTTCATATTCATTGAGGATAATAGGAGTGGAGTGCTGGAGAATCTCTATCGGTTTTTTGTGCATCTCTGTAAAAAAAAAGTGACATGAAAAGACTTTTGCCCGCGGACTTAAAAATTAGGGAAGTTTCTAGTATGCCGGTCCCCAGAATCACGCGATCGCGCATGAGCAGTTATTTCCCTTGCCGTTGATATGCAGAATATAAACAAACTGCAATTTCCCACTCGCTTCAACAAAACGCATCCGATCGAGTGATTAGGGTTAGGTTAAATATTTTTTTAAAGTTGTGGTTGTTTTATGAATCCACTCTGTAATCTTTCTGACTTTGGGCTTATTCATGTCATTTTTGCTTACAAAAGGCACTATGAGTGCCTTTTGTGACCAAAAACTTGCATGAATCAGCCTGTCGAATCGCGCCGATATCTTACACTTTGGTTTAGTTCACGAAATTTTTGCTTTACAAAGAACAGGAAAGTTTAAGAAATGAAAGTTCGGGTAAATCAACTCTATTGTCGAAACATGACGATTTTCAGCGCTGAGTTTAGGCAAGTCATTGTAAAAGCGACTTACCGTTAACTGCAGCTCGATATCCTGACCTCCTAATCATGTCCAAATATTCAGAATATTTTTCCTTTCAAATCGATAATGATGCACAATTCAATCCATCGATGACCAGTAATTAGCTAACATTTGTTAAATCCCTGTATTTCTCACAAAAACCACGCAATTTTAATAGCATTGGACTTTGAGTCCTATCAGGCATTTCTTCATTACATCAACACATAAGTGACGCAACTCATGAATATTTATGAGATTACGTCAAAAATTGATCATGTGACTACAATCCTAAACAACGCAAGATGGAGATTTACTTCCTAAACAAGTACGTTATTTTACGAAACCTTTAAACTGTGTTTAAAAACCAGTTTTTTAAACCCATTTTTTCACAAGGAACACGAATTTGGGGTCAAATTTGCAATTTGTGGCTTCTTTTTCGATTTTGTCGATCGCTCACGCGATCGTCTATATATTGTACACCGCCTTCGGCGGCACCTATTTTAGCGCCATATTTATGGGGACCGGTATACTAGAAGTGTTCCAAAAATTATGGCTTCAAAATGGCGGAAAATAAATTTAACGTGTTGGCCCCCACTTTTTCCTTCAGTATAGATGGAAGGATGATGTAATAGTGTATGCAAAAAATGGTACTGAAAAAAACTGGCATCCCCTCCCCCTTTAACACACCAACACTTTTAATGACTCTATCGCCATGGAAACTGGATGGGAGGGTTTCTTGGTGCCTCAACTAAAAATGACGATTACATGTCTATAAAGTATATAACTGGACAAACTCTACCTGTAATTATTATATTCCATAATGATCAATATAGGTTATGTTCCATGTTCTCAATCAGATTTGTGAACCCTCGCAATTGTCGAATTATTGATCCTTTGCACTAGTGGGCAGACACCGCGGCGAAATTTCATTTAAACGTACACGTATCCGCTGACTGAAAGTTTGTTATTCTAATGCATTTAATATTAATAAACCTAGCATAAATATGAACAAGACTGTCGTATTACAATACGCCACACTTTCAGATTTCCTTGTCCCAACGGGTCGTCTTCCGTATTGAAGACTTCTCTTCCTTGTTCTCATTCCTTGTTCTTCCTTGTTCCTTGTTCTCATTCGAATAACATTTGTACGAGTTGGCTTAACACTATCGCTTCCTCGCGTGATGGGTTGTACTGAAAAAGAGTCGAAATGAACGAACGAGAAATTTTAACTTAAGGCTATGAGCGACTATCTGGTAACAAGTTAAGCTTGATATAAATTACTTTATAACAATGTCTGCTGAGGGTTTTAGACAAGATTTTTTTGCCACATGTAGAATCAATATGAAGGTGAATAAGAAAACTGCGCAATGTTAATAATTGTACAGTTCCTCAGGTGGCAAATATTTTTTTTCCAATCTAAATATTTGATTGAAAGTCAAGTTCTGAGTTGTCAGTAAATTCACCCATGCATGTAAAAGTACTCTAACACAAAGAAAACAGTATAAAAGCATGTCGAATGAGGAGACGTTCTTTTATGCTGTATTTTTATACCCGAGTGTTTTTCATGCACTAGTGGACACACTGACAACAACTCAGAACTCAACTTTCAGTATTTTATTTTTTAAGAAATTATATGAATTTTCATTATATAAAATACCTTGATCAAGGTATTTGTAATACCTTGATAAAGATATATATATATATACGGGGTATTGTGCTGGATTTGCTAATGATGGCATAAGGACAATCTCAAAATTTCATGTAAATCAAGCCTTTTTCACTATTTCGCCGCAACTGCTTCCAGGGTCTACCACACAAATTGCAGATTATCATTTGTACATATCACTGAACAGCAAGAGATAATGGCTCAACCACCTCGTTTTCAAGCAGCAATTCATCCTATGAACCCACCCCGCTTTTCTGGTGAAATACCGGAAGAGTGATTTTAGATCTTAGTATCGTATTTCTAGTTCATATTTGTTTGTTTATTCAGGAAATGGCACATGACATATAGCATAAGATGGACACATAAGAACATAATTGGCACATGGAATCCAAAGAAATCATAAGATTTCGTAAAAAATACAATTGTAATAAAACACTAACATTATATCATAAAAGACTAGTACTTAAGAAAAACATTTAATTCAGTATATCTAAATGAGACTAAGAGAATGGCGGGTAACTATATAATTTTTGTACTAAGTATAGCCATTTACCCGAGGATGACCCATGAAAGCAATAATGTGCTTATTATCAATGGGGTCCTCATAAATTGTAATAGTAATTAACCTATTTAGCACTAAATACTATGATATAAATAGGAAAAAATAAAACATAAAAAAGTAAGACAATATATATGTTTTAGGAGGCTAATAGAATAAAAACTCATTTTCAAATATTGAGCGCATTTTAAATAAAAGGTGCTTTTTTTATTCTTTTTTTGAAAACAGCTTTGTTTTTGATGGATTTTATCTCATCTGGAAGTGAATTCCACTCCTTGATACCATTATAATAGAAAGTATCCGACTCTGACTTAACAATTCTTGGGATAAAAAAGTTCAACTTGCTGGACCTAGTTGTTCTAGTTGTTCTTGTAGAATTTTGAACAAAATGCTAAGATAAATAATTAGGACATTTCTCATGAAAAATATTAAACACATGATTAAGTCAAAGTTGAGAAACTCTATTACTAACATTCAAGAAGCCTACTTTTTCAAATTCGTCAAAAGTAATTCTCTTCCTTTGACGGCTATTGAGAATAAACCTGATAACTTTATTTTGAGCAACTTGTAGTCTATTTTTCATATTCCATAAACAGTAGTAGTGACACTAAAGTGTCATATTTCATTAAAATATACAAGACCATCAATTCCCTCCAAATGCACCCATAAAATATTCTAGCTATAAAATTACCTATAATATGCATTCAAACCTTAGGTT